TAATAAATAATTATAGATATATTAAAATAAATGAATAATAAATTGTTGTTTAGTTTTTTTGGACTATTCGGTTCGTAATTTATAAACCAAAACCAATCCAAAATAATAATTCGGTTTTGTTAAAAACCAATCCAAAAATTCAAATACCCGAACTAAATAGTTCAGTCAAAATTTTCCAATTGGACAATTCGGTTTTATCCATATATTGAACAATTAGGTGTGAGACTCGTGTACTATACGGGTTGATAAAAAAAAAAATTAAACATAAAATTAAAATGTAAACATAAAATATTTTTTACTATACAATTTTAAAATAAGAAAGGAAGAAACTTATTTATTACAATTTAATATCACATATATATGATATTTAATAATTTACATATATAAGTAGATAACTTTAATTTTAAAAATTGAAACAAATAAAAAATTAACAAGTGGATAATATTTATTTCAAAAATACCATTAAATTACAAGTGTCAAAAACTAGTGAGAGATTCACATGTGACAAAAAAAAAATCGTTTATTAAGTAGGATCCTATATATTTTGCCAAAATATTAATGTTGCAATTAAAGAATAAAAACAAAGATAAAATGCCCCCATGCAGGATCGAACTACAGACCTCCAGTTTACAAGACTGGCGCTCTACCACTGAGCTATAGGGGCTTTGTGTGCTGTTTTTTTGTACAGAGTATTATTATTTCGAAATTCATGTATGGGTCGTTAAACCCTCTTACAATCATCGTCTTGTTGAAAGTTTGAAACGTATCCGGAATGGAGGTTTTGAAGATGGCGAATTCTAGGGTTTCTCTGCTTCGCCATAGTTTGAACTCCTTTTTTCCACCTTCTGCTACCTCTACATTTTCTCTCTCTATCTTACCTACCCGTAGATTCATCGTCTCCGCTTCCATTTCTTCAAAAGAAGCATTTGTTGATTCGCTGTCATCGCAACAAGCTGCAACTCCGTTCGCCGATTCTGAAAACCCTAAATTGAGAAATCGATGGAAACCAATGTGTTTGTATTACACCCAAGACAAATGCACAATGGTAAATTTCTCAATTCGTGTATTTCATCCATACGATCTATACATATTGTGTTTTTACAAAATTATAAAATTGATGCAAGATTCGTCTTTTTTTTCCCCTGTGCATCAGCTGCAAGATTCGTCTCACCTACAGAAATTCAATCATAGTTTTTCTTTGGAAAATGAATTAAACACCACCAAGTACAAGAACAAGCACTCTGAGCATTTTGATTTCTTCCTTGTGCTTGATTTAGAGGGAAAAGTTGAGATTCTTGAGTTTCCTGTTCTAATGATTGATGCCAAAACCATGAATGTCGTAGCATTCTTTCACAGGTTTTTCATTGATTTTTTAGGCTTCATATACCCAAATTCTTTCATTATTGATTTATCCCTGTAAACATATCTCATTTTTTTAAAACTTCTGTTCCAGATTTGTCAGGCCTTCAGAAATGAGGGAAGAAAGAATCAACGAATACATTGAAGGAAAGTATGGAAAACTAGGAGTTGACAGGTATAATTTTTGACTATGAATGATTCTTCAATTATAATATTCATGTAAAATCTTGCTATAATTTTTGCTAAATTGTTTTCTATTTAACATCTTTGCAAAAAAACTCATCTGTTTACAGGGTTTGGCATGATACAGCTATTCCATTTACAGATGTTATAGAACAATTTGAAGAATGGATGACAAAACATAACTTGTGCTCCAATGATCTTTGTGGGCCCCTTCCTCGAGCTGCTTTTGTAACATGGTAAAAGTTCCTAATTCTTTACTAAAATGGAATTTGGTATATGCTAACTTCATCATATAATTATGTGTAAAAGTGGGAATTGGGATATAAAGACGAAAATACCCCAACAATGCAAAGTGTCGAAAATGAAGCTACCTTCATACTTCATGGAATGGATCAACTTGAAGGACATATATCTCAACTTTTATAAGAGGAGGGTGAGTATGACCTATGAATTATGAACTATGAACTATGAAGCATGTATTTTAAAATTAAAATTAAAATTAAAATTTATCTTTCTTCGGTATAAAAATTTATTTATTTTTGAATGATTTTAGGCGGCTGGAATGCGTACAATGATGAACGAATTGAATATAACGTTGTTAGGGAGTCACCATCTTGGCATTGATGACACGAAGAACATAGCAAGAGTGTTGCAACGTATGCTTATGGATGGTGCAATTTTGAAAATTACTGCAAAGAGAAATCCACAAGTTCAAGAAAAAGTTGAATTCCTCTTTGAAAATCGTATCAAATAAGTATCCTGTCTAGCCCATTTTGTCACGCATGACATGACATAACATGACATAATGTGTTGTACTGGTTGTCATAATTCATTAGACTGAGATTGATGTGATGTGATTTATTGATGTCATAGGCAAAAGGTGGAACAGAGTGAGGTATATTCACTCTTAATCTATTGTTTGTATAAATGATCCTAAACATCGAAAATAGTCTTAGAAAGGAGTAACTGTAGTATTGTTAGATAGTTAGACAATGATTTTATTCGAAAGTAAGGGAGACAACGATAGTGGTCTAGTGTTCTGAAGTGATTGATATAAATATTTTCATTTATTCCATGTTGGTTGTATTAGTCTAATTGTATTTTAAAGAAAATTGATGACAACTTAAGAGTTGATGACATGATACCTCATAAAGTTTTAATCTAAAGTATGAAATCAAGTTTTAATCTAAAATATGAAATAAATTACACGTGAACATTGTTTTTTTGTTTTTTTTTTTTTTTTTTTTTGTTTTTTTTTTTTTTTTTTTTTTTTTTTTTTTGTTTTTTTTGTTTTTTTTGAAAATTAGTGGGTTTGGTTTGTGTGTAAAATAAGTGTCTTTCTTGCCTATTGTATTAAGTGTTACATGACATAACATATGATAATATGTTGTCTAGTGTTTTGAAATATGGATGCATGACATAGATTGTTAATGTTACCATAAAAATATAGAATCAACAAAATAAATATACTTAGCAAATGAAAATGTAATTAAATGTAAATACAAGAATCAATTCACAAGAAAAACAGTTAAAATACTAAACAAAAATTAATTGTTAAAGAGTTAAACTCAAATTAATAGATTCAATTATTAAATAAAATAAATAAATAAATAAATAATAATAAAAGTTAAAATCAAAATTAATATATAAAATTAATTTAATTAGTCAAGGAGACCCAAGAGCTTTAAGGTCCAATCTTTTCACCATTATATATATATATATATATATATATATATATATATATATATATATATATATATATATATATATATAGAGAGAGAGAGAGAGAGAGAGAGAAAGAGAGAGAGAGAGAGAGAGTTCAATTAAGAAAAAAAAGGTTGAGAATGAGGGAACCATTCTTAGTCAATCATTTAATGAGCTTAAAAAATGCACGGTGGCAAACTTGTAAATAATTCAAATACATTAATCAAAGGATACGATTTACCACCACCATTACAGATCCAACTCCGATTAGGGTTATCGTCACCATCTTAGACAACGACGGCCTCGAACTTCATCTTTGTCCTTCTCCGACGACCGCTAATAGAAAATAAGCAGCGTTACAGGGGTTCGATTTTCATGGCAACCACTAGTGTAATGGGAACAGAATGTGAAGTTGGAGTAGGAGCAGATGACCACGCCGACAATGAAAAACCACTACATTGTAGCTTTCTATAATCAATAGGACCACCATCTCTAGAGGAACACTCTCCACCAGCCAAAGTATCATGTTTTTAACATTTCTAAATAATAATTAACTTGTATGCAGTCCAACTGTTTGATGAAATGCATAAACTAAATTACCATGTTATATTCACATATGAATATGTTTTCTCATATAAATCAATATATGATTATTAAAAACACAAAACAAATATGCAAGTCTGTATGTTATCCATATGTGAATAACATATAAAAATTATACATATTTGTGAAAATACCTTGTAAATATTCATAAGTGAATATATTCACAAGTGAATATACTTTGTAATATTCATTTGCGAATATATCATCTAATATTCATAAGTGAATATACTATGTAATATTCACATATGATATATCATGTAATACTATGTAATATTCACATATGAAGAAATAATTTAATATTCATAAGTAAATATACCATGTAATATTCACAAGTGAATATACTATGTTAATATTCACAAGTGAATGCATCGTCTAATATTTAAATATGAATATACTATGTTTATTATATGCTATATTCATATATGAATGATACTTCAATAGTAAAAAAAAAATTAATCATACTTTTTATTCATAAGTGAATAATGAATGTATTCTAATAAATCTGAAACATTTTTATTCACTTATGAATAACGATAGTTAAAAATATTTTAAAAAATTGTTTTATTTTATTTTGTAACTCGAAAGTTATGATTGAAATTCCAACATAGTACGAAAAGGAGAAGCAAGATTGAGCATCGTCTGTAGTCAAGAAGCCCTAGAGTTCAATATTATTTCGTGGAAACACAGAAGTTTCGATTAGTACTTAGGATGAAGAGATAACATATGGAATCATTATCCAAGCCCTATTTCGTTGATGATTCTGGGACGTAATCATCTTAAGGGGGAGATAATTGTAACGTCCGTAGATCAGGGCTAGTCAATTTAAAGACAAGAAACATCAAAAATGACTTTTTGATAGAAGATTATTTCGGAGGATTAGTCTTAACTAAGTTGTATATGTTACAAGGATTCCGTACATATAAAGAACGTTGAAATCTGAGTTATAACGAAGAAGTTATGACCTGTCGAAGTTTTGCGACAGAACCGACACGACACAGCGCGACGTAAATAGTGAATTTACGTTAGAGTGATATTTGGCCTTAGCGATCTAAATAAAAGTCGTAGAATACGTTAAACCGATGGATGTCGTAGCATTCTTTCACAGGTTTTTCATTGATTTTTTAGGCTTCATATACCCAAATTCTTTCATTATTGATTTATTCCTGTAAACATATCTCATTTTTCTAAACTTCTGTTCCAGATTTGTCAGGCCTTCAGAAATGAGTGAAGAAAGAATCAACGAATACATCGAAGGAAAGTATGGAAAACTAGGAGTTGACAGGTATGCTGATATTCTTTTTGACTATGAATGATTCTTCAATTATAATATTCATGGTAAAAGCTTGCTATAATTTTTGCTAAATTGTTTTCTATTTAAAATCTTTACAAATAAACTCGTTTGTTTACAGGGTTTGGTATGATACAGCTATTCTATTTACAGACGTTATAGAACAATTTGAAGAATGTATGACAAAACATAACTTGTGCTCCATTGATCTTTGTGGGCCCCTTACTCGAGCTGCTTTTGTAACATGGTAAAAGTTCCTAATTCTTTACTAAAATGGAATTTGGTATATGCTAACTTGATCATATAATTATGTGTAAAAGCGGTAATTGGGATATAACGACGAAAATACCCCAACAATGTAAAGTGTCGAAAATGAAGCTACCCTCATACGTCATGGAATGGATCAACTTGAAGGACATATATCTCAACTTTTATAAGACGAGGGTGAGTATGAACTATGAACTATGAACTATGAAGCACGTATTTTAAAATTAAAATCTGATTTTATCTTTCTTCGGTATAAAAAATTATTTTTTTGAATGATTTTAGGCGGCTGGAATGCGTACCATGATGAACGAATTGAACATACCGTTGTTAGGGAGTCACCATCTTGGCATTGATGACACGAAGAACATAGCAAGAGTGTTTCAACGTATGCTTACGGATGGTGCAATTTTGAAAGTTACTGTAAAGAGAAATCCACAAGTTCATGAAAAAGTTGAATTCCTCTTTGAAAATCGTATCAAATAAGTATCCTGTCTAGCTCATTTTGTCACGCATGACATGACATAACATGATATAATATGTTGTACTGGTTGTCATAATTCATTAGACTGAGATTGATGTGATGTGATTTATTGATGTCATAGCTAAAAGGTGGAACAGAGTGAGGCATATTCACTTTTAATCTATCGTTTGTATAAATGATCCTAAACATCGAAAATAGTGTTAGAAAAGAGTAACTGTAGTATTGTTAGATAGTTAGACAATGATTTTATTCGAAAGTAAGGCAGACAACCTTAGTGGTCTAGTTTTCTGAAGTGATTGGTATACATATTTTCATTTATTCCATGTTGGTTGTATTAGTCTAATTGTACTTTAAAGAAAATCGATAACAACTTAAGAGTTGATGACATGATACGTCATAAAGTTTTAATCTAAAGTATGAAATAAAGTTTTAATCTAAAGTATGAAATAAATTACATGTGAAAATTGTTTTTGTTTTTGTTTTTTGTTTTTTGTTATTTGTTATTTGTTTTTTTTGTTTTTTTTTGCTTTTTGAATATTAGTGGGTTTGGTTTGTGTGTAAAATAAATGTCTTTCTTGCCTATTGTATTAAGTGTTACATGACATAACATATGATAATATGTTGTTTTGACATTTGGACGCATGAGAGAGATTGTTATTGTTACAATAAAAATATAGAATCAACAAAATAAATATATTTAGCAAATGAAAATGTAATTAAATGTAAATACAAGAATTAAGTCACAAGAAAAATAGTTAAAATACTAAACAAAAATTAATTGTTTAAGAGTTAAAATCAAATTAATAGATTCAATTATTAAATAAAAGTTAAAATAAGAATTAATATATAAATATAATTTAATTAGTCAAGGAGACCCAAGAGCTTTAAGGCCCAATCTTTTGACCATTATATATATATATATATATATATATATATATATATATATATATATATATATATAGAGAGAGAGAGAGAGAGAGAGTTCAATTAAGAAAAAAAGGTTGAGAATGAGGGAACCATTTCCAATCAATCATTTAATGAGCTTAAAAAATGCACGATGGCAAACTTGTAAATAATTCAAATACATTAATCAAAGGATACGATTTAGCGCCACCATTGCAGATCCAACTCCGATTAGAGTTATCGTCACCATCTTAGACAACGACGACCTCGAACTTCATCTTTGTCCTTCTCCGACGACCGCTAATAGAAAATATGCAGCGTTACAGGGGTTCGATTTTCATGGCAACCACTAGTGTAATGAGAACAGAATGTGAGGTTAGAGTAGGAGCAGATGACGTTGCCGACGATGAAAAACCACCACATTGTAGCTTCCTACAATCAACAGGACCACCATCCCTAGAGGAACACTCCCCACGAGCCAAAGTATCATGTTTTTAACATTTTTAAAAAAAATTAACTTGTATGCACTCCAACTGTTTGATGAAATGCATAAACTAAATTACCACGTTGTATTCACATATGAATATGTTTTCTCACCTGAATCAATATATGATTATTAAAAACACAAAACAAATATGCAAGTTTGTATGTTATCCATATGTGAATAACATATAAAAATTATACATATTTGTGAAAAATACCTTGTAATATTCATAAATGAATATATTCACAAGTGAATATACTTTGTAATATTCATTTGCGAATATATCATCTAATATTCATAAGTGAATATACTATGTAATATTCACATATGATATATCATGTAATACTATGTAATATACACATATGAAGATATAATTTACAAGTGAATGCATTGTCTAATATTTAAATACGAATATACTATGTTTATTATATGATATATTTATATTTGAATGATACTTAAATTGTAAAAAAAAAATTAATCATACTTTTTCTTCATAGGTGAATAACGTATGTACTCTAATAAAACCTAAAACATTTTTATTCACTTATGAATAACGATAGCTGAAAATATTTAAAAGAATTGTTTTATTTTATTTTGTAACTCGAAAGTTATGATTGAAATTCCAACTTAATACGAAAAGCAGAAGCAAGATTGAGCATCGTTTGTAGTCAAGAAGCCCTAGAGTTAAATACTATTTCGAGGAAACATAGAAGTTACGATTAGTACTTAGGATGAAGATATAACGTATGGAATCATTATCCAAGCCCTATTTTGTTGATGATTTCGGGATGTAATCATCCTAAGGGGGAGATAATTGTAACGCCCGTAGATTAGGGCTAGTCAATTTAAAGACAAGGAATACCAAAAATGACTTTTTGATAGAAGATTATTTAGGAGGATTAGTCTTAACTAAGTTGTAATATATGCTACAAGGATTTCGTACATATAAAGAACGTTGAAATCTGAGTTATAACGAATAAGTTATGACCTGTCGAAGTTTTGCGACAGAATCGGCATGACACAGCGCGACGTAAATAGTGAATTTACGTTAGAGTGATATTTGGCCTTAGTGATCTAAATGAAAGTCGTAGAATACGTTAAAGTTTAAACCGAGAGCGTGCATAAAAAGAATGTCCAAATCTCACTCCGTATAAGGAAGTTATGATTTTTCTAAGTTTCAGTTTAGCAGTATGCAACCCGAAATTCGAATATGAGATCGACAGATTTCTAGCCTAAACAATCTAAATGTGAATCGAAGATCTCGTCGATAGTAGTTCAACGTTAAAAAGACAAACGAAAACGGACGTCGGATGAAGAAGTTACGAGTTTATAACGGAGTTTTCTTGTCCCGGCCTACTAAAAATAATATAATAAAAATTAAATTCAAAATTAGCCGATGAAGTCTAAACGAAAGTTGTAGATCTTGTTTTTACCTACGCGTGGAAAAAAGAACATCGAAAACGGAGCTCGTATGCGAAAGTTATAAATTTCTAAAGTTCAGGGCGCGAACCCCAATATTGTGTCAGAGTTCACAATGAACATAGTGTTCACGACGTGAACTCAGTATTTATGACTTCTGGAGCCTGACAGGCGTAACTTGCGATGGCGCATGCAGTGATGATCAAGCCCATGACGATAAAATACTGTTCACGACGTGAAAATCAAGAAAACATCCCTATAAATAGATTTGAAGGAGCAGCCGACCAATGTTGCTAAATCCCCCTTCTCTCACCCATATTACCTCAATTTACGTGCAAAGAAGTACCCCCGAAGCTCCGATATCATCCCGAGACCTGAAGTGAGTCCCGACGCTTCGAAGATCCCGAGAAGAAAAGAGTTTTCTAGCCGAAACTCTGCCCACGAGAAGTCCGGTGTGTGAAGATATCTCGGTTTCACCAAAGAGTTGCTACTTGGAGAGCCGTAGTGCTGCCCGATAATCGTCTTATCAAGTGAATGTATAGTCCCTTTCATAAACACGATTTTAATAGAAGTATTATCTGAATGTATTAAGTATATGTTTTGGGTGAGTGTGTAGTCACTCTCTTCTAACCCATAAATATGAAGTATTTGCTATGAAATACGTGCTATGTGTTTATATATTGTTGTTTATTTAAGATGAGTGCGGAATGGATGTTTTATATAGTTTTAAATGAGTTAAACCATATATGTATTTTATATCTACAAATATGTTGGGTAGAACATGGGTAGATGAGATAGTTGGTGTGTGATAAAAGATGAGTTGGATAATGAGATCAAGAGGTTAGTTTTAGATCCGGGAGTATGGATCAAGTAAAGAGATAAACTTGTTATTAGTCCGGGAGTATGGATTAAGACTAAGTTAATTGTCCTTAGTTTGGGATTATGGATTGGGCACAATTATTGATCCGGGAGTATGGATCAGATCAGGAGATTATTTTTAGATTTGGGAGTATGGATCAGGTGAAGAGATTAGTTTTAGATCCGGGAGTATGGATCAGGTGAAGAGATTAGTTTTAGATCTGAGAGTATGGATTAGGTGAAGAGATTATTTTAGATCCGAGAGTATGGATCAGGTGAAGAGATTAGTTTTAGATCCGGGAGTATGAATCAGGTGAAGAGATTAGTTTTAGTTTCTGAGAGTGTGAATCAGGTGAAGAGATTAGTTTTAGATCCGTGAGTAGGGATAAGGTAAAGAGGAAGGTTTTAAATACGAGAGTTTAGATCGTGTCGTTGTGAGGATCGATGGGGTGGGATAAGATTTTCTTTTATATGGTGAAATTATATAAGTTTGTGAGTTTTAATATATATGATATAACATTGTGGGATGAAAACCCTATATGCTCACCAGACTCTCAAGCCCGACCCACTCAGTTTTCTTTGCATTACAGATAATGGCACAAGACTAAAAATTGGTGGACTTGACGAGAGATTTTGGATTATAGATCAGTAGTTGTAAATAACTGTTGTAAGGTCTATTTTATACTGTTTATGCTTTTGGTCTGTATTGGATCATGACATCCCGAGATTTTGTTATTTAATGAAAAATACAGTTCCTTAAAGAAAATTATATGGTCAAAATTTGTTATTAATTGTTCTCGCAATAAGAAATTTCATTATATATATATATATATATATATATATATATATATATATATATATATATATATATATATAATTTAAAAAGCCGTAAACATATAATTTAAAAATATTTATATAAACAAAAGTTGGGAATAATTTGTAACATTTATTATAAATTTGAAATAAAGTAGACGTGAAAGTTTCAAGTATGGGTTTTGTTTGTGTTTTATTTTTAAGGGTTTAAAATGTAATAATTTGATAGAATGCATGATATATGAGTTGTTCGAACAGTAATATGAACATAGAAAAACGAAATTATAAAACTAGAAAACAAGGATATGATATAATCATTATCCTTAAGGATAATTTGCACCCACTATTTCGTTGTCGGGTTGAAATGGCAAACAACCTCCCCGGACCTCCTCAAATTTAGAGAATATAGGCAACACTTCTAGTTCTCTCTCATGATCATTGATAGATAATAAATAATAAAAAATAATAAAATAATAAAAATAAATATAAAAAAGCATTTACTATGAATTATGTCAATGAAGAAGA